CGGGGTCGAAGATGTCCACGTCCTTGAAGACAGGGGCAGTGTCATGGGTGTCCCGGATGCTGTACATCACGCTCCAGCCTTTGGGGATTTGGAAACCCTACAGAGGAGAGGGGAAAGGGTGGAGAGAAAACCAGAGTGAGCCAACCCTACTGTAGAGAGAGGAGCAGGAGGACGAGACAACACCGTTTCGCTTTGTCTGCTTTTTCCCATTTCCTTCGGGTTTATTAGAGACTTAAAAGAAAACCAGAGAGGGCTGGGAGATGGGAATCCTGAGGTTTTTTTCCTGCCTCTGTCCCAGAGACCCGCCGGATGACCCGCCGCTCTTTATTTGCTTTGCGGTCGCTGGCAGGAGTCGCCTACCAGGAACCCCGTGGTGCTCGGCTGCCGCCGAGGAAAGGGAAGCAGCTTCTCTCGTGCCCGTGCTGTGCCCCGGCCAGCCCTCCCCAGAGCATCCCGGGGCTTTTGCTCGTGCTCCTGTCAGCCCCACACACCCGACGCACATGTCAGGGCTCAGGCGATGAGAAAGAGGGTGGATTTATCATCCCCTGAGCACTTTAAAAAGGGTTTCCGGCTCAAATCATTGCGTTAGTAGGATTTACAGCGACACAAGCCAGGTCTCAAGACTCTGTTTTGCCAGTAGGAAATTCCAGCCATTGTGGTGAGTAACCCTCTTGTCATCCAGCACCCTGGAGATGCCCTTTGCAGTAAACCTTTCCCTTGTCACACCCCAGATTTTGGCGTCATTGTCATGAGTTGCTCTTTGAAGCATCACGCCTGTCTCCTCTTTGACAGCTCCAACGCATCCCTTCCCTGCCACAGCCCAGATCCCATCACTCTCTCCTGAATCCGGAGCAATCCCACCTCCCATCACCAGCAGGACCTAAGCTGGCCTCCCTGAGGTTTCATCGAAGCCAGGCTCAAGGCAGTTTTGCAACAATAAAAAGCAGTCTTGGGGAGCTCACGCACCCCGGAGGGATGGCAATACTCACATCCAGCTCGAAGGTCTGCAGCACCGTCCGGTACCCCCCGGAGATGGGGGTGAAGAGGCGAAGCACCTCCTTGATGACACAGTCCAGGTAGTGGAGGCTGTTGATGTTGTCGAGCCGGAGGGAACCCTCGCAGATGCAGCCGTTGTGGAGGATGCCCTTGCTGCGCAGCTCCTCCCGCAGCTTCTCCAGGACCCGGGGGTGTTTGAGGAGCTGCATGATCAGAGAGGTGCTGGCACTCGCCGTGGTAGCATAGGCAGCGAAGATGAGCTCCAGGGTGCCATCCTGAAAGACAAGAGCAAAGCCAGGCTAAGACACAGGGGACAGACAGGCAGGCCAGCAGCGGTGGCACAGCGAATGACAGGCATGCACGCAGCCATGGGACATCTTTTTTCGCCAACAGCTCTCCAGTTTGGTCATGTCTAACCGTGAGGTCTCTCCTTCTGCAGACACAGAGCTTGGACACCCACCACCTGGAGCTTCCTTGCAGAGCCTTGGAGGATGCTGAGGACCAGACAGGAAGAAGAAAAAGCCCTGGGGATGGCTCTTGATAGCACATGAAGGGCAAATTATGCCATGACCTTGCTGCAGATAACAACCTGCCAAAGGCTCATTGGCCCTGCAAAGGAGGCACCATAAAACTGGATGGGTCAAGGGATGAAGCCGGTCAAGGCTGAAAGCTTCAACAAACTTGCACTGTCTCTTGGTATTCCCTGGAAATGCCTTTTAGAAAGGGCTGAGCATGGTCTGCAAATAAATATGGCCCATAGGAAGCTTCGATAACGCATCGTGGTTGCCCGTCTCTCACTGATCATCTCAGCTCTGCCCCCGAAAGTCCTCGGTGAGGACAAAGTGTCCGTGGGGAAGATCTTTACCTTCAGCTCCTGCATGGTTAGCTCCTTGCCGTGCTCTTTGCCGCTCTCTATCAGGATGTCCAACGCATCGGCATAGTCTTTCCCCTGCGTGTTCTGCAGTTTCTCCTGGATGGCTTTCTCCAGCCCCTTCTGCAGCGTCTCACGCGCTCGGATGCCCTGGGGAGCAGGATGCCATCAGACCGTGCGAGGCACAATGCCAGCACAACCATCCCCAGCCCAGCATCCCCAGGAGCTGAAGATGTGCTCAAGGCAACCCATCTGAGTAATCACAGATGCTCAAAGAGAAGCATAAAGATGCTGAAGTTGCTCCCTGGGCAGGAGGAGCAAGCCCCGAGTGCGTGAGATTAGAGGCAGGAGTAATCAGCACCTACGTGCAAATGATAGGGCTGATGTGGGAGCCCCAGTACAGCCCCAGTTCACAGGCCTCTGGCTCTCCCCGGGCTGTACAGCAGTCCCTGGGAAAATTGTTTCTCAAAGGAAAGTCAATTCATCCCAAAGAATCCCTCTTCCCAGGAGCAATTTTATCACCTGCTCTCAGTAAAGCAATTCCTCTCCGAGTGCAGCAAGCACCAGGCTAACCTGAGACTGAAAATGCTTCGAGGCTGCTCCTTCATGTGGCCGAATAATAACAATAAAATTTGCAGCGAGAATCACAATAAATTATAAAATCTCATATTTCCGTTACCAAAATTCCCCGTGAACAAAATACTCTTCATTTTCATCTGTGGGGGGGTTTTTTGTTGTGTTTTATTCTACCCCATTCATCAAAATGAATAGTTCTTAGAATTAGAAGGTCTGCTGACCTTGGGACAAGAGAAAAAGGGAGAAGGGTGCCACAGACAAAAAAATACAGCAAACCTGCCCGTTACAAGTGAGGAAAATTAAACCTCGTTAAATCTGGGCATGTCTTGACTGTGGTCTCCCTTGCATCGAGCTACAGAGACCCTAGCACTCGAAAAACCTACTCCACTCCACCGAAACAGGACTTTGCAGCCCAAAATGGAATCACTTCTAGAGGTCAGAGGGTGAGAAGACATCCCCCACAAGAACCTGTGGACGCAGGGATTAGCCACCACCCCATTAATCCCAGGTCGGTGTTAGGGGCTGGTGGAGGACTCCACCCAAGTCTCTTACCCTCCTGTAGCCACTGAAGGGCAGATCCACAGGCAGGGAGAAGACATTCTCCACGAACTGCTGGTAGACCTCAAAGAGGCGGCTGAGCTCCTCGTCGGGGATGCGGAAGCCCAGCAGGACTCGGATGGCCATGCGGAAGGTGAGCTTCTGCGTCTCGTGGTAGACGTTGATGGACTCGGGGTTGCTGCTCCAGGCCCGAAGAGTGTCTTTGATCACCAGCTGGATCTTGGGAAGATAGCTCTCCAGGGCCTCGTGGCTGAAGATTTTGGAGAAAACCTACAAAAGAGAACAAGCAGAGATTTCTACACGGCCCCGACGCCCTGCTCTTGGCTTCTGCCCACAAAAATGGTCATGACACGTCCTGCCGATGCAGCAGGAGACTCGAAGTCACCCAGGAGTCATCATCCAGAATCACCAGGTGCTAAAACACCTGCCCAAATGGGTCAATGGAGAAATATCAGCTGAGAGATCCTCCACAGGCTGATCCCCCACCACAACCATAGAGTCTTGAAGGTTGGAAAGGACCTTAAGATCATCAAGTCCAACCGACAGCCCTACACCACCCTGACACCAAACCATCTCCCGAAGTGCCACATCCAGCCGTTTCCTAAACACAATTTATAAACACCATTGCAAACAACGAGCAATAACACGGCGCAGAGATGGGAGGAAGCACTCCAGCCTGCGCACGGCAGGACTGATGGAGCCAGCTTCCCCATGTCTCATGGCTCCCAGTGTCATTCATCCCACAATTTGAGTGCTATTAATACATCATTCTATGATTCTGCCTCTTCCACAGCGATTCTCTGGTGTCTAACATGATGGTTGTGCGTGCAGAGACACACACTCACGTGAGCTTTTCTCTCA